ATAATTACAAATAAATACTACTCAACACTATTTACACATATATATATATGCGTATGTATGTATTCCAGAGTCAGCTAATTCACACCCCACACACTGACATTTACACTGTTTTTCTTATATTATCTCTCTCTAGAGAGAGAGAGAGAGAGAGAGAGAGAGAGAGAGAGTTGGTGGGGAGAATGTATTTTGGAAAGCAAATGTGAAAAATAGTCCTTTCATCGATTGCCGTTCTCCGCATGCAATGACCGATTTGCCCCTGCCCGAGGATGGTCGCCGCCATATCGGACGGCGGTCGTCCTGCCGGAATCCCAGCCGGAAGATTCGTATGTATTTATTGTTTTGAGGACTCTTTTGTTAATTATTACAGCTGCTTAATTATGACTAATTAGGAAGAGAGGCAAACAGATTTGGAGCCAGGCAATTTTACAATTTTATTTCTCTCTCTCTCTCTCTCTCTCTCTCTCTCTTGTTTTGTTGGAGTAATTGTTAGATCTCATCTATTGTTAGCAATTTTTTTTTTTTTTTTGGTACTGTTAATTTCATATGTTTCATGAATACATTATATTACAATCTGTATACAAGTGTAAGATTTATTTTTGTTTGATGTAATAATATTCTAATTTCTAAAGTTGGTGATATTAATCAAATTTTTCCTTTTTTTTTCTGTTTGCTCTATTGATTTTTTTTTTTAAAATTTGAATTATTTCGTACAAAGGGTCCAATTTCGTTACTTCACTTTGTTTTAAAAGCTTTACGTTAGGAATTTATAGTGCATAACAATTAACAAGTAAATTAATAGTCCAACAAAAAAAAATAAAAAATTTGAGAGCTTGTTGCTCAATACTTAATGGAAATTAAGGACTGAACAAATTAATTAATTGATTTATTGAGAAATGTTATGGTCCGGTTGTGGAACCGGGATTTGTAATTGAGCATTTTGTAACCTAACGATTACAAATTCTGACAGAATGATTCCGTAACGAGATTATGTCTCTTGATTTATTATGGCTTTACTTGATTCATGTTTACATTATTAATGCATTAATTGCGGCTAAGTTATTATAATTAACACGCTTGTTTGCGTTTTTACCTACCCTTTTTTAAGTGTTTGTTGACTTTTGACAACTTTTATTTATTTATTTATTTCCTTTTGTTTCCAAATTTTATTTGTCACACGAAAAAAAATTGTTTATTGATAAAACCAAAATTAGTTTTTCCTTTTATTTTTTTACCAGTTATTAGAAATTTTATTTTACTTGACAGTACCATTGTACCAAATTAGAACTATGTCTTACGCGTGTATATATAATATTCTTTGCTTGGAGAGAATTCGGCAGTCCAATGATAGCTACATATATGAAAATTTATTTTATGAATTATAAATATCTTAATATTCTTAGGTACTGATCACAGGAATAATAATAATAATTATTAATATTAAGAAAGAAGAAGAAGAAGATAATTTACGGTGAAAATTTTTGATAGAATCTAAAACATGATATTTTTGGTGAAGAAATAGCAAACATCGAAAATAAGTCAGAAAATGTTAAAACCTTGATTTGAGCAAATTTTCTATAATTACTACAATACTCGTGTACTACATGTACTTAAATATATTATTATTTATACAATGAAAATTAAAATGATTATATTTTTATTGTAAAATTATGTTAGTACACGTACTTAAATATATTAATATTTATACAATGAAAATTAAAATGATTATATTTTTATTGTAAAATTATGTATGATGAATATGCAACAACAATAAATGTTTAACAAAGTGATAATTAATTCAAATGATGACTGTATTTTATACTAAATTCGTCAAATAAATTAAATTATATATATATATATATATATATATATGTATATTTTTTTGGTACTGAGGGAGGGAACAAAGCTTAAGAAGCTATCCTGCGTCGGTAGGTCTAGGGGTGAGCAAAACCGAGCTGAAACTGAAAAACCGCACCGAATCGAACTATTCGGTGCGGTTCGGTGTGGTTTTTTGTAAAATCGGTTATCGGTGCGGTTTGGGGTTTTGAAAAACCGCAAGTATTTCTGTGCGGTTCGGTTTTTTGTTCGAATGGTGCAGTTTTGACCGAACCGCACCGAATGTAATAAAATGTCACTTTTTTTTTTTTTTTTTTATAATATATCACCTTAATTTTTATAATTTTTCTTGCATAACATTAATTGATGGTTATCTTTTTAAATTTCGGTTAATCGAAAAATCGAACCGCACCGAATCAAAATTTTCGGTTCGTTGCGGTTTTTTCCTTCTATTGCGGTGCGGTTCGGTGAAAAAAATTTATAAATTCGGTTTTCGGTTTTTTCGGTGCGGTGGCAGTTTTTGACCGAACCGCACCGAGGCTCACCCCTAGGTAGGTCATTCCAACAACATCATGCTCGAGTCATGGCTTCAACCCCGCTGGCGGGAACTCTAATCATTGTAAGCCACCAGGGCTAGACGTCGCTAACGAAGCCAAATGATTTGCCGAAAAGTTTGAGTCACAGTAGACTTGTCGTAGTTCCACATTCCAATCACGATTCATCAACTCCTTTATAGACCGGAATAGGCTATTATGCACCCCTCGGACTGGCCATTCACCAAGTCTTCCACCAACCTACTGTCGATATCGGCTAGAACTCGCAGCCCAAGTTCCATGCTAATATCAAGCCTTGCAACAACCCCCAAAGTTTCGCACCCATGATGGAAGTAAACTCGATATTCATGATGAATCCACCCAAGAACCTACCGTTGTGGTCACGTAACAGGCCTCCCGCACTCGCTAATAACATTCAGTTTTTTATATAATCTATTTAAATTAAAGAAATAATATTTTATAATATTTCTTAAAATTTATTTTATGTAATACCTAATTTTCAATTTTTTTTCAAAATTTATGGAAAAAACACTAAAATGATTATTTTATGATGTATTAATGAATTAGATTTTTATTATATTTTTTAAAAATATTATATAGTTATTTTATGTATTTTAAATTCAGTTGATAATAATATTAAACTTATTTATAAATATAGATGAAATTATTATTTAATTTTATATATGCAATATGGATGCCAAAACAAAGATCGTTAAAATATGATTAATTTGGTAGATTATATATAAAATAAAATACAAATAAAGTTATAAGGTCTTAAAAATAAAAAGAATACATATTTATAATAACTAATATATGAATTGAATTAATAAAATAAGAGTCGTATATGGTAACTTTCAAGCCTAATAGTCCAAACCAAACATCTAACATGTGTCAATACAAATCACCAATTTATGCCAAATAAGTTTACGAAGTACACGAGTCTGTTACTTAGGCTCAACGAACTCAAGAATTATATATAAAGGCGATAGGCTCAGGCACTTCAATAATTAAAGGGCTAGTTTTGTTTGTATACTAAATTGAACATAATTTGAGGTCGAATCCATTTAAATGTTATTTATATATATATATATATATATATAATTCTCCCATCAAAAAATATACACACTTATGTTTATATAAGTTACTCCTAACTAGTACAGAGCTCGTGCGATGCACGGGGTGGACAATTTTAAGGACACTTACCCAACTTTATTATTATATTTCATGAATATGGATATTAAATAGATAGCACTAAAAAATTATTATATATTATTAAAAAGGTCCTTGTAGACAATATTTTTTGTCTTTCAGGCATACTATCTTCTCCGCAAATTAATATTTTCAAACTTTTTCGATTAGTGACACAAGAAACAACTACATACAACTGGCCGTGACTGAACACTGACTTCATCAAGAACATGTCAACATGCGATAAAGACTGACATTGACTCTTGTTAATCGTCATTGCATAATAAACCATTGGGGGAAATTGTCTAATGTCAAAATGTGTTAGAGACATCTGAGATATCAACACCTTCTCACCTACATTAGATCCAGTCAATACCTTACATTTAAACACATGAGTTGAGAGCTTTGTGACAACCAATCTCGTACCATTGCACAACCTGATAGAATGACCAATGTTCCGCAACAACATGACTGAGATTCCTATCTTAAGATTCAACTTATGGTTAAACACTCCAGAACATCTGATAGAACTAAAAAACTCGGAGGTGTGGATATCAGACAAAAAATTATGAATCAGATTTGCACGTACTATCAGAGTTCAAATATGTTTGTCCATCAATCACATTCAAAGACATCATGTACTCATTGATAAACTCAATCACCTCCAACGTTGGGGCTAGTGTAGTCATATCCTTCAAATAACTAGGATCATCAGTTACATCCATAAATATTGGATCGTGTTCTCAAAAACGGCAATTATAGGATCATCAGTGGGTTTTTCGCTCTTACGTCGTTCCCTTTGATTCGAGCCCCTTGAACGATTATCCTCTTCACCCGTGAATCCATTGTGAATTCGGCCTCACTACTTGCGTCATATTCCCCGTCCGACGAAGAATCGGAGTTATTCCTCCTTGCCTTCCTTGCGGCGTTTTGGAGCAACATCCTCTCGATTCTGGCAACCACTTGATTCGTCGATTGTACGTCCTCGTTGATCGAACGTACGCTCTCCTCCAAACGATCAATTCTCTCTCGATTTGACATGGATACACGATCGGTGTCTCTTAATGAAAGCACCAATGTTATGATCGTGTATTGAAATTAAAGAAAATAACAAAAAGTGTAAACCCGCACTAGGATGGCCGTCGGTCGACACAATATTTGGTGCTCGAACGAGCGTTTTTTTGCTTAAATCATCAACATGAAAATTATAGAAATTAATGCCCCTAACCTACTCTACGGTTTCCTAGAACAATCATAAGAAAACGGCTAGAATAACTGATTTAAAACTGCTGCTCTTTCCACGTCCATCATGTGTCACGGGCGCGGTGGTGTGTCATGGCGTGAGGAAGCTGGCTGCCGCGGCTTGGCGGGCGTCGCGGCGCGGCGTGTCTTTATGATATGACCTCTGTTACCTCGTTACATCCCTCACGAGAGGCGCCGCGCGCGTGATGAGCATGAGGCACCACGGCGTGCACGAGCTCCGCGGCGTGGCGGTCTGTAAGGGCCGACCCTCTGTTGGCCCGCGGCGTGCTTCACGGCGTGGAGGTCTGTTGCATGGCCATGGAGGTTGCACCTGCATCTGCATCATCCCTTACCTTCTTGAGGCGAGCTCATCGGGCCCGGTTATACGCATTTTTAAGGATACGACTCTCGTTCGAATCAGAGTCTGACCACTCCATGAATTCAATTTCTTTTTTTTTTTATTTTTACTTATTTTTTTTTTTTTGGAACATCCAACTAATTCATCAAAATTGGCCTACACCTCGAATTTGCAATAGTATGGCTTAGTTAATACTGAATTATTAAATTGCCAGTTCATGTACCTCGTTTATTGTTAGTACTTAAAAAAAGAAAAATGGAACACATTGTATTTAATAAATGTCGACCCTTAGGTTGTAACCCTTATTGAAAATGCTAGTTTTAACATAAAAAATAATAATAACAGAAAAAAAAATAATATATGAGTGAAATAAATGTCACAATGAGTCTCGCTTAATGATGAAAAAAAAAAATGCGCCATTTTAATCCTAGTGAAATTACTAATGCCCACTTACACACACTCAAATGAAAATGACTTTGGAATTTTGTAAGAGTTTAATTAGGAAAATGAAAAAGATTGCGCAGCTAAAAAGTGAGGAATCAAATTGAGCAAAATTCTCTTAGACCATCATATTCAATTTTCCTGTTCAACCATTTTATATTCAAATTTGCAGAACATTATTTATCTCTTAGCTCAGTTGATTCACAGATTATGACAAGGGCATTTTCTAACTTTTTCTTTTTCTCCAAATATAAAGTAGTCAATGCAATAATTTCACCGTAGGTTCAATTTAAATGTTGGAGTTGTGATAATCAGTTTTTTGTTACAAACCCGCATGTGTGTGTGTGTGTGTGTGTGTGTGTGTGTGTGTGTGTGTTTTACTAATCTACTCCACAAAGCTATCACCAAATTTGTGTACAGTACAACACAACTAAGATGCAACTATGCGTTAAAAACAACTTCAAGTATTACAAATGGTTGCAACAAATACCGAAGAATGCACAATTTCGTAACACGCAAACCATAAGCCAGGGAACATAAGCTCACAACAAAAAGGGCTCGTGAAATATTCATTCAAGATGACGAGTCACTAAAAATATATCAAAAAAAGTTAAGACACTTGTATCAAAAACAACAGTCGCAATCGAATGGGCACAAATGAGTACCTCCGGCATCTGCTTTCCCGATGCCCAACTCCTCTTCTGTGTAAATAGTTAGCCCATCTGCAGTCTTTTTCCTCGACCGAGAAGTGGGTCTAACATGCTCGTTTTGTTTCGAAGATTTTTTCTTCTCATTCGTTTCTCTCCTCAGTCCATCATATGATTTAGCATCTACTTTTCCTGGTTTCTTGTTGTGGACCTTTTTCCCCTCTTCAGCTCTCTTTCTCTTTTTCGCTGCTGCAAAAATATCGTCAATCTCCGAACCCACCTTCTTGGGCTTCAAAACGGGCTTTTCCGGTTCGGGTGTGGGTCCCTTGGATGAATGCTTAGCTGGCTTCTTGGTTGAACTCTTTCTCGCCATCTTTTTATATCAAATATAAAGGATCTGCAAAAAGTATGAACCAACATATTAGAAAAAAATAAAAAATAAATAGACGAAAATTATAGATCATATTTGTGCAAGTAATAGAACTAACTCATGAAATTTAGTACTCTGAAATGATATCGACTTTATAAGCTATTCATACTTTCATTTTGAGATCATCGAACATTCATGCATTATCTAACAAGTTTGCAAAAGGGCTTTTCCATCTATCACCATAAAAGCCGTTCAACTTTTACTTTAGTAGCCTGTAAATGACCCCGATCGTTGAATAAACGAGCTAGAAATCGGGCTCGAGCTCGAACTGAGCTCGTTAAGGCCTCACGCTCGAGCCTTAACGTAACCCCCGTTATTTTTATAAGGAAAATCTCGAGTTTTAAAAAAGCAGAGTATATTTTCAAACTTTATTTATCGCTTTGAAAACAATTAACGGGCGCTACTCAATCGTCCATACATATATCATTCCGCTTTGTATCATCACAAGCCGTTAAGAACTCATTCCCCAATATCAAGTCATATACGAGACATAATTCACCCAGAACAATCGCATAGACATATAATCCAAGGACACAATATCCCATGCTCATCAACAAGCCTCAATATGATATCATATTACTCAGAACAATATCCAATCTCAAGTCTTACAGTACAATACAAGTTCATAATGAGTTCGACATAATAACAATAGCGGAAGCAGATAAACAATTCATAATATCATAGACAATTACCCCACTCGCCTGTCTTGTGCCACAACAAGAAATAGCGGGGGTGAGCAAGCAACAAGCTCACCATGAAAATATCATGCAGTATATAAGTATAATGACTTAAAATCATGATCGCATCATGAATGAAAATCACCTCACCTATCTCCTATCTCACCCTATGCTCATATGTATAGACTTTTGCACGGGACCCAGTCCGCTCTTGTCTATGCTCATATGCACACACAATTGTACGGGACTCAAACCGACTTACCTTATTCTCATATGTACGCACTCTTGCACGTGATCTAATCTGGCATGTCCTATACTCATATGTGCACACTCTTGCATAAAACTCACTCTGGCTATGTCCTATGCTCATATGCATACACCAGTGATTAAAATAGCACGCCAAGGCGCGAGGCGAGGCGGGGCTTTGACGCCTCATACCCTTGAGGTGAGACGGCCTTGTGAAAGGCGACGCCGTGGATGTAGCGTGAGGCGACGCCTTGTGAAAGTGAGGCGAGATAAGGTAGTTTAGGTATTTTTATAACTTGGGTTTCATTTACGTGAGATTAAAACTTATCAATTAACAAAAATTACTTACCAAACTACAAAATTACCATGTGCCTTTTGTCCCACCGGCGACAGCGACCAGATTCCGGTAGCTAACCGGCAACGCCAACAGCAACTGCGACGATATATGTTCTAGTTTTTTCCTTTTCTTCTCCTTTTTCTATTTGCCTTTCTTTCAGTCATTCTTCACCAGCACGACATTAGTGCTTGTTGTGTAAGTCGTCGGCTCCGACAAAACTTTCGTCGCCAGCAGTGCTTACAACAGCCGATCGGGATGAAAAGCGAACAGGGGGGTGTGGGTGGGCGGATTTGGGCTTAACATTTTGTTTTTATTTTTCTATTTATATTATTTATTTGTTTATTTATGAATGTGGAGCACTAAGGGCTTGATTGTTTATGAAATAATTTGTTCAAATTGAGTTATTTTGGAACCATAATTAATTTTGAAAAAGGTGGTATGGTTAGTTGTAGTGGAATTTTAAAAATGTATTAAATTAATATTTAAAATAAAATGATTACAACTGATTTGATGTAAAAGTAAGAGATAAATAATTGGAAATGATAGGTAGTTAAAATTATGTGAGTGGATGAATAGTGAATTAAAGTTGATGTTGATGTGTAAGAATGATTGGTTTGTATTATTTAATTATATGAATAATATTAAAGATAGTAAGGTTGAGTTAAAGTTGAATTAAATTTTGATTTGAAATAAAAGTGAGTAAATTATTTTGTATACAAGCAAGCTCTAACTTGTTTTTTAATAAATAGTAGACATTATATTATTATTTTAATTGGCAATTTGGCATAATGTGGGATTGTGGGGTGGGTTGCTAGTTTATTTCAATTGGGATCATGTGGGTTCATGTTATTTCTATTTCTAGTTTGTTTAATGTTGTTTTTATGTTAATGTGGGTGTTTTGTTACATGTTTATTAGCTATTATAATTTTTTTTTTTTTTATATATAATGGTGTCATAATTTGGTAAAATGTCGCATGTACATATATTTCTATTTTTTGTAAAATAAATAACCTCGCTTTCATAAGGCGGGCACCTCGCCGCACGCCTCAAGCCATGGAAAATTTGAGCCTTGTCGCCTCGGCTCGCCGTGCGCTATCTTAATCACTGGCACCCACTCTTGCATTGGGGTTCAACTCAATAGATAAGTGGTTCACACGCATATATTATTATGGTAAAGTTTATCTAACACCCACCCACCTTAACTGCAGATGTACGATGAATAAATGCACGTGAAGTTGCGAGAAAGCTCGACTCATCTTAATCTACAAATTAAGATTTAATTATTAATAAGGATTTTGATTGAGGCTGATTACGTAAACAAGTAAGGCAACACAAACAAACAAACAAGGCACATAAGGGCAAATAAGACAGATAAGCACAACAAAGCACAAAACTCTCCTTAAACTAAAATAAATTTAAGCATACTTCTAACTCTTTTTCAATCTGAAATTCATGTTCAACAAGCTCTGAAATAATTAAGCATACTCTGGCTTGAAATCAATTTAGCTCAAAGCACAAAACAACACAAACCACATGCTTTTCTTTCTATCACTGCTCAACACACTTTGGCATGTTTAAACTCCTCGACTACTAACCCGAATCTAAAGATCAACAAAACAATGGAACAAGCATAATTATTCGACATACAAGGCATTCCCAACATGCTCAGCATGAAATCGAATATAGCCTAACCAATTTCAACATGATACAAAATATCAAATACACGACAAAAACATAACATAACAGCTCTCTTTTCTCTTGCAAACTTAACCAATCTTAAGCATGTTTTTCCAACTCTTTTAATACCTCTACACACATACTTTCAGCACCAACATTAACACACATGAAGAATGAATAACCGCAAGGTCTCAGCATCAACAAAACACAATTAAGCAAGGGTAAGAAATTTCACATCAGCATGCTCCTCTATCCTCACATTTCTAAGCACAACAACAGGCCTTAAAGCTGAACAAAAAACTGACTTCTAAGCACATTCACAGCAACATAAACACAAGAACAATCTTCAACAATTACAGAGCAACCACACGGCCAAATTGATGTAAAAAGGGGTTAGCCAAAATACCTCTCGAACACAACGGGCCACGGCTGATTGTGCGCGGTCTGGCAACGTATGGCTCGTGGCTGGGGTATGCGACGGCTATAGGTGGATGTACCCCTCGGCTGAGGCCCTCGCTGTCCGTTAGCCTTGGCTCGGCGCAAGATCGGGGTTCGTGGCGGCTGAACGGCCACGAACAGGGGCGCGTCTCGACCCGCGGCTGCTGTTCGCGGTGGCTCGGACGACGGCAGGATGGTTGTTGCAACGTGTGATCGAGGGAAATCGATCGCCGACGAGATATGGCGACCTCGGTTGCCCTCGATTTCGGATCTGAGAACGTCGGCTAGAAGAGAGGGCGCGACGGGGCTGACGTCAGCGGCTGCTCACGGCGGCGTCGGGGCGTGGCTGTTCGCCGGCGGAAGAGGACTGCTACTCAGTTGGTCGCGGCGTTGCGCGGTCGTCCTTGGCGAATTGCAGCGATGACGTGCGGACGGCGGCCTTTCGCCCTTGGCGTGCGACGGCGGCTGGTGGCCGAGGGCGGCGATGTCTCGGCTATGGACGGACGGATTACAGACGACTCGGTTACTCACGGAGACGGGCTGTTCGCTGCTGCTCGCGGTGATGCTAGTGCAAGTGGCTCTCGGCCGGCGCGGTTTGTCTGATGTGCGTGATGGGGCGGACGTCCGGCGGCGCGGAGATGGTCGGAGGCCGAGGGAGGAGGGTGGATTTTCGATCTGATTTCGATCTGATTTTTGGCTCTGAGAGATGGTTTCTCCAATCTGAAAACGCGTGAACATGTAAGGGAAGAAGAAGCGGAAAAATGAAGTTTCCTTTAGCAGAACGAGGGAATCAAATGAGGGCCATATTCAAGCTTGTTGGGCTGGAAATGATACATACGATGGGCCGAATTATTCAAGGCTTAATACGGCCGGTTTTAAACTTGGATTTTGGACCAACAAAATAAATCCAAAGGGATAAAAATTGGGAAATTTGCATGCTTGGACTTGCAAAATATTTCATTTTTACAAGTGGACCAATTTTTATTGAATCTATACCAAAAATCTAGGATTTTATTGGAGATATAGGGTATATTTGGTAAGCCAAATAGCTAGCTTATAGCTTATTTAGTTAGCTTATAAGCTCCATGTATTAAAATAATCCTCGTTTGGTAGGACGAGCTTTTTAAAAAAGCTCGAGCTTATTTCATAAGCTACTTTAGGTAGCTTTTCAAATAAGCTAGTTGAATTTTTTATTTCAGCTAGCTTATCAGCTAATTTACCAAACACCTTTTATCATATAAGCTAGCTTTTCAACTATAAGTCATAAGCTATAAGCTATAAGCTCAAAAATTACATAATAAGCTATAGCTAACTTATCAGCTATCAACGAGTTTATCAGCTAGTTTTACCAAACATAGCCATACATCATGTATAAGACCATACAAAACAAAACGCTCCACCTTTTACGAAAATACCCTTGCCACTTTCTCTCTCTACTCTCTCTCCTCTCTCTCTATCTCTCTAGAATTTTATCTTCAACGAGCCATTCGTGCTTCAAAAAAATCCAAAAAAATGTCGAAAAAATCCTATGGCATCGGCAAAGCATTATTCTCGAGCAAGGTAATTTT